CTCTGTTTGGGGCTCTCAGCTCTGAAGGCTGTGAGACCCCTGATTTCCCACTTCACACCTCTATATTTCTGTGTATGTGTCTTTAATTCCTCTAGCTCCTCTGGGTCAGGGTCTCCCCGACTGAGCTGGTTTCGGCAACTGGCATCCATTCGTGGGGGCTCGAATCCAGGTCGAAGGGTCGCCAGAGTGATGGTTGGAATGGAAAACTAACTGGAGGATACCCGAGTACTCTTAAAGCAATCCCCGTGGTGAGTAAGAAGGGGAGCTCAGAAGTGTCAGGGTAACAATGGGACAGGTGTGGGGTCTGGTTTGTTCCACCTTGGAACTTTTTCACACTGATGAGGAGGAAGAACAAGACTGTAACGAAGTAACAGAAGAGGTTACAGAGCATGTTTATTTGCCAGCTAAAGCTAAAGCGGCAAAGGAAGGAAAGGTTCATCCCTACCCTTCTGCACCCCCTCCTTATTATTTTGAAGAAAAAGACCCTCCAGATCTTTCTTTTCCAGAGGACATTGGGTGAAAAGTAGTTGCCCCAGTGACTGTTCGAGCAGCACCTTGAGCGACCGCCCTTAGTTCTATTCAGACAGGAATTCAGCAAGCTAGACGAGAGAGTGATTTAGAGGCTTGGCAGTTCCATGTTAGAATACATCCCCCAGATCAACAGGGAAATATTGCAGTTACATTTGAACCTTTTCCTTTGAAATTACTCAAAGAATTTAAACAAGCTATAAATCAAGATGGAGCAGGTTCTACTTTTGTAATGGGACTGTTAAAGAATGTTGCTGTTTCCAGTCGGATGATTCCTACTAACTGGGACGCTCTTACTCGAGCTTGTCTAACTCCTGCTCAGTTCTTACAGTTTAAAACTTGGTGGGCAGATGAAGCTTCCATTCAGGCTGCTCGCAATGTCCAGGCCCAACCTCAAATTAATATAACTGCAGACCACCTTTTAGGGGTTGGCAGCTGGGTTGGTTTAGATGCACAACTGGTCATGCACGATGATACCATAGAACAGCTTAGAGGAGTGTGCATTAGAGCTTGGGAAAAAATCACTTCACGTGGGGAACAATACCTTTCCTTTACTGCTATAAAACAGGGACCAAGAGAACCATACATTGATTTTATTTTATTTTATTTTATTTTTAATTCTTTTTTTTTGAGACGGAGTCTCGCTCTGTCACCCAGGCTGGAGTGCAGTGGCCGGATCTCGGCTCACAGCAAGCTCCGCCTCCCGGGTTCACGCCATGCCTTAGCCTCCCGAGTAACTGGGACTATAGGCGCCCGCCACCTCGCCCGGCTAGTTTTTTGTATTTTTTAGTAGAGATGGGGTTTCACCGTGTTAGCCAGGATGGTCTCGGTCGCCTCCCAAAGTGCTGGGATTACAGGCTTGAGCCACCGCGCCCGGCCCATACATTGATTTTATAGCTCGGTTACAGGAGTCTCTTAAAAAGATGATTGCACATTTGGCTGCTCAGGATATAGTGTTGCAGTTATTAGCCCATTCTTCTCATGACTCATCTGCCTTCATTTCCACAAAACAAAACACCACATTTTCAGCTGTCATTGGAGAGTGAGAACATTGGGAAAGTTCTGTCACCTACAGAGATGAGGTTATCCATCACCAGGATGACAAAACCTCACCCCAGCATTCCTTCCCCTGTCTGACCCTTTCGGGGGGCAGATCATTGTGGTTTTGATACACATTTCCCTAATGGCTAATGATTGAGCATCTTTTCATATACTTGTTTTTCATTCACATATTTTCTTTGGATAAATGTCTATTCAAGCCTTTTGCCTATTTTTAATTGGGTTGTGTTGTTATGGTTAAGTTGTAATTCTGGATTCATGTCCTTTACAGATAAATGATTTGCAAATCTCTTCTCTCATTTCGTGAATTTACTGTTTCACTTTCTTGATGGTGTCTTTTGAAGCATAGATTTTTTGTTTGTTTTTGAGACAGTGTCTTGCTCTGTCACCTGGGCTGATGTGTGGTGGTGCAATCACAGCTCACTGAAGCCTTGATCTCCCAGGCTCAAGCAATCTTCTCACCTTAGCCTCTCGAGTAGCTGGGATTACAGGCATGCACCAACTCATCTATCACTATTATTATTATTATTTTTTTTTTTGTAGAGACGAGGTCTCACTATGTTGCCCAGGCTAGTCTTAAACCTCTCCTCAAGTGAACCTCTCACCTTAGCCTCCCAAAGTCCTGGGATTACAGGCATGAGGACCATGCCCAGCCTTGAAAAATAGATGTTTTTAATTTTGATGTAGTCCAACTTGTTTTGCTTTTGTTGCTTGTACTATCTATGAAACTACTTCCAAATCCAAGGTCATGAATATATACCACTATGTTTCTTCTAAGAGTTTTACAATTTGGGTTATTGCATTTAGATATTTGATCTATTTGCATTCATTTTCATA